GTGCTGGTTCCGTGCTCGGATAATAAGTTGTAGTTTCTTAATCATTCACAGGAAATGCATTTAATGATGCAGATGGTAATTTTATAATTTAATTTGATAGGCTGGGTTGTGGTTGGTGGACCAGCTCATGTTACAGAATGCAGTGGGACAAAAATGTTTGGAGGATTCGGTAAATTTGGTGCAAGGGCAGTGGCAAGCAAGTTATTTGAGTTACCTCCTCACTCATCTATAAACTTGAAAGTTTAATTCTGGAAGTAAGATATATTACCTAAGTTTCTTAGAATTGATTCATGGGATAATGAAGAAGGATACATTTTTGTAGATGATTAACTTGTATGGTCAAGGAAATTTAGACACAATGAAGGTGATGGATAAAAGTGTGGATAAGGTGGTGATTGGAAAGAAATGACTCTTAATCTTGATTTAAATATAAAACATACTGGTGCAACTGCTGTTGTTATATTTACATCAAATTTGAATGAAGCTGCTGATAATGTATATTTTTTGATCTTAAGAATTAGGAATCTTGGGCCATAAGAGATTTTGTTTTATCTGTAGAAAGATGCCCAGAGGGTTGCTCTGCTTGTTAGGTTGATGACAAAACTGAAAATTGTTAATTCTGGTAATCATTTTCTAACAGTTGGGGGGCTTTAGATCCTAACTAATTAGGAGCTGATGGATGGGAAGTTGCAGGTGGATAAAAGACAGCTACCAATTGTGGAGGTATTAATTAAAAATATCTTTCTAAAGGTGTTGCTTTATTTGGTGGATTCGATAAGACTGGTTCAAGAGCAGTGGTTAGCAAAATCTTAAAAGTTAACCCCCATTACAAATTAAAGATTAAAGTTCTTTGGGCTAAAATTGACTCATGGGACAATGAAGCTGCATAAATCAGAGTTGATGGAAAAATGGTTTGGGAAAGAAGATTTTAATGGCATGAGGGTTACTTTGGTAAGATCTGTGGTTGCCCTGTCTTTGAATGGAAAACTATGTTTGCTAGAACTGAAGTGGATATTGATCATACTGGTGATTAAGCAAGAGTTGAATTCACTACAACTTTAGATGAAGCTCCAAACAACGAATCCTTTGGTTTAAGAGATTTATATATCTTCTATGCATCGTGTTCTGAAAATTGTGCTGAATGTACAGGACCTAAAGATTCTGATTGCAAGAGTATTAAAATTTATAATAATTTTAGAATGTGCAAATAATTGGGCTTTAGTTGATGGTAAATGTTAAGCTTTACCAAATTTCATTCTTTTAGAATAATCATTTTTGGAAGATAAATTTACAGGAATAAATGGATGGATTCTTAATAAAAATAAAGGAGGAAGATTAATTAATGAATGTAGTGGTAAATCTATGGTTGGAGGATTTGATATTATGGGTATTGGTGCTAGTGCTACTAAAACTTTTGATATACCTCCACATAAAAGACTTAGACTCTAATCAACTTTATACAAAATTGATTCTTGGGATGGAGAATTTATGATTATCAAAGTTGATGGAACTGATGTATGGAAAACTTCATGGAATCTTTAAACTGGAGGTGCTAATTTCTGTGGATAAGGAATTTGGTTTGATGGTATTGTAGGAGTTGATTAGATCTTTAATCATTAAGCACCTAAAGCAGAAGTTGTATTTACATCCACTTTAAATTAAGATGCTGCTGATGGTAATTAAATATTTTTTTATCTTTTAGAATCATGGGGTTTCAGAGATTTCAAATTATGGTATGAACCAAAAGAGGCTTGTGCAGTTTTCTATAGTGAATGCGATTATAAAGGAGCTTCATTTGAATTCTGTTCAAAATCACCTAATTTCTAAAAGGACAACATTCCCCCACAAATTAGATCTATTAAGATTCCACCTTAAGGAAGAGTGACATTATATGAAAGCACAGATTATAATGGAAAGAAAGTCACTTATAC